AATGATTATAAAATTTTGAGTGAATGAATCGCCATTTAATAATAATGTAATAAATTTTTTGAATCTAAAAAACATTTCTTTGGTTTGTTATATTCCAAAAAATAAATCTTCATCTCTAAGATCTCTATTCATGTCAGATAAATATATTTATACAATTTTAGAACAAAATTTATTTTTTTTAATTTCATAATATTTTATTTTAATGATGAAACTACTAGTTTTTGTTATCTTTTAAAATTATCATTCGATTGAAAAAATTCTGGCTTTTAGAAAATTAATTTTATTAATTTGGATCTATAACATATTACTGTTTTGATCAGGGTTTGTTATTGCATTACAATTATTTTCTTTTAAATTTTTCGTTATTTACTATCTTCTTCTTCTTGTGACTGATTCTTAGTAGACCTTGGCGATTACTCTGGCTCATCTGATTTTATTTGCTGCAGCCACAAATCATTCCTGTCATAGATATCATTCCTGTCCACTGTCTTAGATTTCCAACCACGATATTCATCTTCTTCCATGACCTGTTTGCCGTTAAGCTTACCCTGCATAATAAGCTACAGTAGGTTTTATTTCTGGTTTCGCATAGTATGCCCGAAGTATGGAGGTTTGCGTTCTATTACAAGAGGTTCTATTACTATTATAAGAGGTTTAAAACCTCTTTCTGTTGTCTCATATGCTGTAGCTATTTATTATAGCTTTGGAAAGCTTGTTTGTATAATATGAAAATAAAATATGAACTGAAATTTATAATTTATTTTCGAATTTCCTCAATATCTTAAATAGATTTTTTTCAAGAAGAATACTTATCTACTACAACTATATATTAATAATAAGTTCTTTATTCTCAACAGGTATAATGCCCAATTACAGAAAATAACAACATAACGTTGAATACTAAATAATTAAAAAATGAAAAAGATATTACAATAATTACATTATAGCTTTATTCAAATATTACAAAGAACTCAATCTAAATCAATTCATTTTAGTCAATTTTCTTTGTTCACATAACTCCTAATAATAACTTCTATGGAGTCAAATTCAATGCCACAATTATTGGCAACTCTATTGAATGTAGACTCCATAAACCAAATGGGGGACTGTACTAGGGAGTTGGTCCTCGGAGTCTCTAGGTGGAATAATTCAGTATTACGAGAATTTTGCCTAGGAACACGAAATTTCAAAGCGGTCAAGAGAGGAGGACAATCAATACTATTGTGCAGTAATTTGTACAAAAATTTGAGTGATAAAGTTTCTCTCATAATGATTGACTCCTCTCTGTGGATAAACTTCATCCTCCCTCCAAACTAAGAATTTGAAGAACCTTCTCTGAATAGCCTCAAGATGCCGTTGATGGCAAGTGTAAATAGGACACCAGATCATCCTGCCATACTCCCACTTGCTACAGATTAGGGTATTAAATAGTCCTATGAATGTTGAGGAATTATTAAAATATTTGCCATTGCGTATAACGAATCCATATATTTTCGAGGCAGATGAAATAAGTTGGGTGATGTGTGGGACAAAGGAAAGCTTCTGGTCGAAGACCACACTAAGATCTCTCACCTTATCAGAACGAGAAAGAACCTGACCACCGACGCTATAATCACAGTCAATTCGTCAATTTTCCTTTTGAAAGAGACATTACATTTTAACGCATTCAAACTCAAGTAATTGTCCTCACACCAACTGGCAATATGGTCCAGCGAGAGCTGAAGATGAACACAATTGTCCTGTGATCTAATTTCATGATATAGTTTCAAATCGTGTGCAAACATCAAATGTGGAGAGTGAATATTATCCATCAGATCATTTACGACCATAATAAATAACAGTGGTCCAAGATTAGACCCTTGAGGTATTCCAGAGGTAGGTATGAACTCAGACGACTGTATACCCTCCAGCTGTACGAATGAAATCGTATAAGTATATTAAACCATATAAGAATATTGAGAAAAATTACTAATATATATATTAACTATTAAATTCATCTACTTATTTAACTAAATATAGATAAATAGGGTAAATTTAAAATATCAATGAAAAACGGATTTCGATAAATATTAGTTCTATTCAAAATATTACGAAATGTACAAATTCATTTATATTCACATAAATATTCAACAGAGTATGTAGCTATAATTTCCAAAATATAATGTATTTTTTGTCTCTTCATAGATCTATTTCCAAATAGATATTCAAAATTGTTGTCCATGTATTCTTTCATAAAACCTTCGAGTTCTTCATCTGGTTTCAATTATGAGAATATACTTGAAGAAGTCAAATTAAAAACTCTTTAATTAAGTAATTTATAGCAAAATTAGATTTTCCGAAAAGAATTAATTTTGGTACATCTAATAATAAACAACGAAGAAATGTTCAAACGAATGCAGATGTCGAAAGAAGTAATAACAATATTAAAGAAAGAAAAAGTGATATATGTGCTTTAGAACTCTTGGTTGAAATTCTATAGAATATTCCAATATTCTCATTACTTCAATTCATTATCGATCAAGCAAAATATCGTATTATTTTTACCTTTGTGATTAAGAAATAAAACATCCATTGTGTTCAAGAGTATTGTTTTTGCTTGTTTTTGTCAATAAAACACCGAAAGGCTAAACATAGTTTTGTTCCAGTGTTCGTATAATCCAATGAGATATTACACGTGAATTATGCTGAATAAACACATTTGTAAATAATATCAACATAAAATTGATACCGAGAAAGAATGAGTCAGACAGACGAACAATGAATGCAATGAAAACACCATGGAGGAATTTTTGGATATATACACACGAAAAATTTTGTGAAATTAGTCACGTCCGTGATAATTAATAAAGTTTGTTTTTCGACATTTTTCATAACAGTTTACTACTCCTCAGTTTGTAAAATCACACACTACTTATTAGATTCGACAATAATTTTTACATTTTACGCGGTTATTTTAATGAAATTTAAATATAATAAAATATTTAGGCTCAAATTATAACGAGATGAATCTGTGCGAAAATGACAGAAAGTTTTATGTCATTTGCATGTCATAAGCATGCTAAATTGTTTAACATTAATGTCAGTTAAACAGAGAATACTTTTTACTAGATATGTACCTATTTATATTCAAAGTTAAACACAAATTGTTCCCATATAGGTAAAGTAATAAAAAATGTACAATGTGTCAGTGATGTGAATAGTTATAATACAAGAAATGCTGACAATTTCTACATTCAAACATTAAACATAGGAATAGTATATTTTATACTATAAATACAATTAGTGACCTTAATGTATTCAAGCGTAAATAAGCTAAGTTCGTTTTAAACATATAATTGTAAATTTATATTTTGAATCTGAATGTATGTATGATTTTGTAATAGCTAATGGTAAAATAAATATTATTATTTGAATAAATTCCCAACTCTCTTCTTGTGCATCTTTTCAAGAGTGTCATGAAATATTTTTTTACTTTTTCAGCATTTGAACTGCTGAGAAGGACTATAGTTTCTATAAATACAAATCAATTCATTGATTTGAAAAAAAATAAATGAGTAAAGAGCAACTCAATTAATCTAATTACAATTGTGAATGTGACTGAAAAAAATGAGGTAATAATAATATTTATTTAGATAAAGGTAACTCTACATATTTTGTAATACATTTATCATTATTTAAAATATACTTTCTTAGATCACATATCTTAATACTAGTACTAGTTTTCAATATACATACTTGGTAAATTATTGAAAGCAAATCTGATTTTTCTTATTTTAAATATGAATATATATGGAACAAATATGTAACATTTTTTATTACATTACATGAAATATTTTCTTTTTAAATATGAATATGTTTCTTTGTTTAACAGACATTAGTTCCAAAGATTTCGGCATAATTTTAACAGGGATATACATTACCTATTGCACTTTAAAATGGTTCGCATGGCTCTATTCTGTAACTTCTGTAATTGTTGAATTTTTTCTTTAGTCAACCCAAATAACAATGTGGAGCAATATTAAAAATGTGGCAGTATTATTGATTTGAACAACAATAATGTCACATATGTCGACAGTTTTTTTCCTATTCCTTTCAAAAAATTGATTTTTTTTAGAGAATTTAGGTGATATGAAATCAACTTGATAATTGAAACTCAATTTTTCGTCTAACATAATGCCTAAATATTTTAATGTTTCTACTCTTCTATTCATTTTTATTGGTTACAAGGGTTTTACTTGTACTTTTTGCACATTTAGAGATAAGCTATTGTCACATAACTATTCATTAATTGCAGAAATGTCTCTATTATTCCCCTCAGACATATTCTTAATATCTTTGCCACATATATAGAGTATATTATCTACAGCGAATAAACGTATAGAACACTTTTTCACATAAGGGACAACGGACCTAAGATAGTTCCTTGAGGTACGCCTACATTCACTTTCGTGCTATCCAACAGCATGCCATTAAACTTAACTTTTTGTGTTAGCGAATCCAAGTAAGATCCGAACCGATCATTTACTACTCCCTCAAAGCCAAGTTTTTTCAGTTTATTCAATAATAATGGTATACATAACGTTTCAAAAGCTCTTTTAAAATCCAATGGTACTATAACCGTTTCTCCTTTATCTATAGCACTATACCTACCATTCCTCACATATGCTCAATATTGCCGTCTCACAAGAGCAATTTCTTTTGAATCATGATTGAAACTCAAAAATGACAGGAAATTTTTCACATAATTCTAATAGATAGTTTTTTACTGCTAATTCTAAAATTTTCTGATAAGGTGGTATTACATTTATAGGTCAAAATTGCTCTATTTTAACAGTATTGCAAATTTTTGGTAGAGGTATTATTAATGAACATTTCCAATTTTTCGAAAATGCTACATGTGTCAGTGATGTGTTAACTAAATCTATTAAAACTAAAAATCTATTTCCAGAAATGTCAAACGCATCCTTCAGTATCTTGACTGTTACTTCATCTTCGAAAAGATGCCCCGGGTGAGGATCGAACTCACGACCTTAAGATTATGAGATTTACGCGCTACCGAGACAGTTTTGTACCAAATTTATTTAGAGATTATCTTTAGAGATTACCAAATAAATTAGAGAATCTGAGATAATTAAAATGCATTATTCAACATTGGATTTTGAAAATATTGATAAAAATTGAACTAGAGAAATAAAAATTGAATCAGAAGGGTAAAGAGAAGTACTAAATAACAAAGCACAAAGTAACAGGAGATTTGAAAATATTTAGAAAATGCATGCACACGACGTTTTGTTGTGAAATATTTCAAATCATTTTTAAGTGCATTATTTGTACATCTCCCAATAAATATTTAATTCCTATTAAAGATTGAAAATGCCAAATACCCAGTGTCACACCTTCTTTCTTCCTCTCTCCCTTCTTTGAACACAAACATGCTGGTATATAATTCAATTAGTGTTGAAATGAAGGGTCGATTCCTAATCTTTTAGAGGGATGACTGGATATATCCCTAGTGTTACCATTACCCCCAGATTCATTAGTTCCAATCAATTCGAGTTTAGGTACATTTCATCAAGCTTACATCGATGAAAAGTATGCGGGCTAGACTTGAATTCCACAATCTACATAGTAAAATTGGTTCAATTGAAAAAGTCACGAAATTGCCATAGTGGTCGCGTGTCCCCCATAGGTCTGTATTAACAAGGATAGGGTGGAGGGTGGCTTTTTGGAACTCAAAAAAAAGCTATATGTTTTTGTGAGTGTGATTGCGTTTTGTGAAAAGATGACCCGTATTAGAGTCCATTATTTGTGTATCTACTTAAAGAATCGAAGAATGAACCAAATGTATGGGGAGACTCCAACAATTATCAAGATTGAAAATTATCAATTCTTGGAAAAGAGATTATTTAAAAGTCGATAATAGAATAATTATCAGTTTCTATAGAGTTACTCTTCATGTTGTATTTATCTAATCTCTTTTAGTAGAATTAGGTATTTTCTTTGTAGATGAAAAGATTTAACTCAATGCACCGAAAACTTTATTTCGATGAGCTGTATGGAAAATCTCTAGTTATGAGATATACATATTAGATATAACTTAGTTTATAGGTAATTAACATTTGCAATGTGTGCTCCTCTATTATAGGACATTTTTAAACTGTCTGTCGAGCGCGCCTTTGTATTTAAAAAAAAAGATGATTATTTTTTTAGTCCCATATTTGAACACTTACGAACATCTAAGAATTATTAAAATTGAACCCTTTTTTATATTAAGGTGGGACCGAGAGAACCAAAGCAAGGATATTGTGAGGGAACAGTAAGTGTTAGACTTTAGTTACTAATTCAGAAGAATTTTTAATTTAATTTTTTACATTATTTATTTATTTTTTATTTATTTATTTAACATACACTGTTTTACAGGGCAGGTCCTAATTACAAAACAGGAAACACAACATATACAAAAAACAAAATTGGTACTACAAACGTTTCAATTTTGTACTTTCAAATTTTAAAGTTCCATTTTAAATGAAAGAGTTTGTGATATGAATAACGAAACTGATAAAATGAAATACTGATATAATAAATATATTATAGAATAAAAAACTTAAATGCTAAACCAAACTTATACATTTACATATAAATTTAAAGTTACAAATACATATACATTCACATATTATCACTTATTATTATCACTTATTATACACATATAATTATATGAGTGAACATGAATTCTGTTCGTGAATACACATAAATCATTGTTCTAGCAGAGATTATGTAAATCCAGGAAACTTACCTTATTATCAGTAACAGAACAGTTGAAAATATCCACCTTAGCTCCCAAAATATTACATTGTTCACACATCGTGGGCAATGGAGAAAATTTTAGAACATTCGTTCTATCTGCTGGAAGGTAGAACGTGAATTAGTTTCTGGAAGAAACTCTTGAAACAATAAAATTAAGCTTCTGCAATAATTCCTGACATTTCACTTTATTCTCAATTATTTTATGCAAGAAGATTATTGCATGGCATTTCCTTCGCGCACTAAGTGTGTCCACATTATGTCGACTTGTAAGCGTTTTATGTTGTATGCCTATAGGTGGATATATTCCATCAATTCTGAAGATCAAACGTTTCAGGAACCTTCGTTGTATAGACTCCAGTTGATCAGTGTGTAACTGATAAGCAGGATTCCAGAGTGTTGATCCGTATTCGAGTTTAGATCTTACGAAAGCACAATACAATGTTTTCAGAGTTGATATATTGTTAAATTTCTTACCAATGCTAATAATGAAACCATTACAGGTAGCGGTTACTGTAGCATTGATATGTGGCACGAAAGTTAGTTGAGAATCGAAGGTTACGCCAAGGTCAATAAATGTATTGAGTCTCTCCAAAATATCCTCATCAATTTCATAGTTGAAATTTATCGAATTATATTTTATGGAGAACGACATAACATGACATTTGGAGATGTTGAGGTTTAATTGGTTGGAATCACACCAATTTACAATATTACGCAAGTTTCTTGCAATGCGTTCACAGTCACCAATGCTGGAAACATAAAGATAAATCTTGAAGTCATCTGCTAACAATAAACCCTAATATTGCACAAAACGTTCGATCGGCATTCATAAAATTACGAATCGATAATTGTGTTCATTGTCTTCCTCAAATGTTGATTTTTACATCTGTCTTAAATTGTCAAAATAGCTGATATTGTAATATTTCATGAAAATAATTTGAGTGTTGATCTTATTATTATTTGAAGTAGGTACGGAAATAGCATGTAATTCATTTAATATTAAAGGCATGCTCAGATTAAAATTTCTACTGAAAATGCCTATTTACCATAAATTTCTTAAGTAGAAATTACACCTAGCTGAAAATGTATCAGATATGAAATTTCAAAATGAAATATTTCAGTCACATAATTCAGAACATCCTGTAGACAAAGTAAGGAGTAATTATATATTATTATAAGAGCGGGGTGTGGCGTGTAGGTCAAACAACCATCATAAAACATCACAATTGAATTTCATACAGAAGAAAATGACTAGAAGAGACGGAATACGGGTCTAGTCATCAACTATGCTATTACTTGTAATAAGGTCCAACTTTTCCAGCGCTGTCATAAACAAATCTCTTAATGAATTGTGCTGTACAATTTCCTAAGTTTATTTTTAAATTCGATAATCAATACCCAACACAATATTTCATAAGGAAAGAAGTGACTTTTAAAGTTTTACACTTCTGGTCACTTTCTGGTATATAATATATGTATATAATACGTTTCTATATAGTATATAATACGTTTCTATCCACAGATTTAGGTCGTTTTAATTTTTGTTAATTGTAATTATTTAGTTTTTCATTTATTTTCTTCAAACATTTTATAGTTTGCTCATCTGTTTTTGCTTTGATATTTCTTTCGCTTGCCTCCAGTTCTTCTTCCTTCTCTCTATACATTTCGCTACCAAACTGTTTCAGCTCTTTGTTTATCGGCCTCTCGTTCTCTTCTGGTTATTGTTTAAACTATATGCAGATATAAATTATTGGACGTATAACATTAAGTATTTTATTCATTCAAACTACAAAAAATCGAAATGTTTTGAACATGAAATATCTGGCCGATTTTCTTTTTGATTTCTTAGATTTCAGTGAGAAAAGAATGCAATTCTAGATACTTATACAGGGTGTCTCATTTGATATATCCTTAGTAGAAACTTGAACAACATCCAACAGAAACGAATCCGGAATATATGCCTATTTATTCTACATAATGAACGATCTATATATATATATATATATATATATATATATATATATATATATATATATATATATATATATATATATATATATATATATATATATATATATATATATATATATATATATATATATATGGTTTCATTTTAAAACCTCATCGATACTATAAAAGGCATGCTTCACTAAAAATGCCTTACATATTTTAAAATTATTTAGAGGCAAGGACACTATATCTGATTCGTGAACCATTTTATTTATATTCTAAAAATTCTGATCAACATTCTATTTCGTGTGTTAATTTTTACTATATATATATATATATATATATATATATATATATATATATATATATATATATATATATATATATATATATATATCGATATATAATATATAAATATATGTAAGCGATATTTCGCTGTATCCGATGTTGTTATAGTCGGTATGTTTACTGAATAGTTTACTAGAGATTCAGGCGGGAGCTTACATTTGACTGTTATAACCGATCGGTCGTTGTAAACGATGTCGCAATAATCGGTTTCGACTGTATAAGTATATAACATTACAACATTACCTACCTTACTTGGTTGTTATTCAAGTATTAGTGTATAGTTATATAGTTTTAAACGTAAAAGTGTACTTACAAAGATGTTTTGACGTTCTTAAATTGCGAAGCACAAAAGTTGTCCTTTGACGACTTGTACTTGACGACTTTACTCAATTTAATTTATTTAATTTAATAATTCACAGTTATTTCATCGATTTGAACACAAACCAAAAAATGGAGAGGTAAACAAACAGCATTTTCCGCTACTTTACAGGTTGATGACGTCATGTGCTCTCATTGGCGATTGCAGTTACCTGACAATAGGCGATGAATATAGCTTTCAATATTAAGTTTTCTAAATTCAATGTGATAAATCAAACTTCAAAATGTGCTTTTCCAGATTATAATAATGAAAACTTCGATAAAATCAACACGAAAGAATATCTTATTACCTCTCATTTAAATATGAACTATCACACGGTTGATTCATCGTCCATAGAATTTATTAAAAATCAGATACTCGAAATAATGCTTCATTTCTCCTGGGTTGAATTTTTCAGTACATTAAGGAAATAATTTTTTCTCTTTAATTTTTCATATTTCAAATGTCCTCGTATAATACAGAAGAAAATATAAATGTGTAGCCTGTAGTCAATATTTTTCATATAAAATTTCATTTGAAAACATTTAGTCTAGTCGAAACTTTAACAGCTCCAATACCAACCTTAAAATGGTTTCAATACCATAAACAACTTGCT